TTGAAACCTCAAAGCCCACACCCTGTGATAAACTTTTCCAGCAAGACCACACCTCCAAACCCTTTTCAGAGAGTGCTACTCCCCAATGACTAAGTTTTCAAATATATGTGTCTATGGGGGCCATTCTTATTCAAACCAAAAAACCCAGAAGACTTATGCTTGTCTTCTTCTGAGTATTTTATGCTTTTCCCTCTTATATTAGTCAGGGTTCTCTAAAGGAACAGAACTGATTGTGTGTGTGTATGTATTTATACACACACATGCCACACATGTGTTTGTGTGTATATATATGTATATATATATGAGAGAGAGAGAGAGAGATTTATTAGAATTGGCTTACAAGCTGAGGTCCAGCTAGTTCAACACCAACAATATTGTCTACAAATGAAAAATCCAAGAATCCAGTTGCTCAGTAAACTTGTAAACGAGATCAAAGACAAGCAAGCAAAGAGCAAAAACTTGCTTCTTCCATGTCCTTTATATAGGCAGTCACCAGAAGGTATGGCCCAGATTAAAGGTGGATCTTTCCACCTCAAAGAATCTGAATTAAAGGTAAGTCTTCCACTTCAAGTGATTTAATTAAGAAAACAATGCCTTACAGGTTACCCAGGTGCTTGGGTCTTTGTTAATTCCAGATGTAGTCAAGTTGACAACCAAAAATAGCCATCGCATGTCTTCTGCCCCTGTGCTTTATCTCTATCAAGTTGAGCTTTGTATAAATTGTAAAATAAGTTCCGTATCAGTCTTCTGTGTGTGTATGTGCACTAGTTCTAGAAGAGACTGAGCTTTCCTCCATTGAATTGTCTTGGCACCCTTCTTACAAATCACCTTGCTGAACTGCAGAGGCAGCTCTGTAGGCAAGGCACTTGCTGCACAAGTGTGAGGACCAGAATTTGGAGGATTAGAATACGGATCCCCAGAACCTACGTAAAGACTGGGCACTTGTGATGTCTGCCTGTGGTGTCAGCACACTGAAGCAGACGGAGAGCTCCAGGGCAGGCTGGCTAGTCAGACTAGCTGACTGTCGTGTTGTAAACTCATTTGAGAGACCCTTCCTCAATAAATAAAATGGAGACATATATGAGAACACCAGATGCCAAGTCTGAAGTTACACACACACACACACACACACACACACACACACACACACACCGTACACATCATATGCAAAAATATCAGTTGATCATAAATTTAAGAGTTTATTTCTGGATTGTCAGATCAGTATGTCTCCAATATTTTAAGTAGTTTTGTTCATGCATTTGTAAAAAAATGTAGTATATGAGAAACACATGAATAAATTAAAGGAAATATTAATCCTGCTACATTAGAAAGAATTTTTTTACTCTCAGTTTTCACTGACCTGTACGTTTGTTTCACTGACCACACTGACAAGTGCAGATGGCAGAGGACACTTTGGGCCTGAGACTTTAGATTCTAAGATTCATCCTGCTCTATGAAGCCTTAGAATATCATCAAGAAGATAAGCAACATGAGCGTAAATGGTTGGTCTTGCCCTCTGGCACTTTTGCTATCACTGTAAAAAGAATATGCCTGGAGTAGTCCTAGTTCCAAAAGTCCTGCAAAAGCCAGACCAAACCTGAACCCACTGTGTGATCTGAAACCTGATGTAAACTAAGTCAGACTCCAGTGAAAAATCAGACATACTGGTTAGAAACAATCGCCTTTCAGTCACAACCACTGACATACCATGGTATATGTTCTCAGTGAATAGCTAGGAGACCTACAACTTAGATGTTCTCCCTCCTCCCATTCTTCATGTGACTAAAAATGACACTATAAAAAAAAGTGTAAGTGTGCATGTGTGCACGCTCTGCTATTGCTTTCTCTATAATAGTTACTTAAAAACTCTTGATAATGCTGGGCATAGTGGTAACCCACTACTTAGAAGATGCAAGAGGATCAGGTGTTCAAGCTCATGCCTGGCTATACAGCTAGTTTGCTGCCAGTCCAGATTACATAAGACGCTGAATGAAAAGGGAAAAAAAGACACAGAAAGAAACTTACCATAATCATCAATTTTACTACCCAAATGAGTGAAGCTTGAGGAGCTGTATGTATCTCACCCATCCCTATATTAATTTTCCTATTGCAGGAAAGGCTGAAATGCATTTCTGTCCCCTATGTATAAACTTTGGTCTACCCATCACACTTTAATAAGCACATTATACAGAGCTCAAAAGGAAGACACTGCTTCTTACTCCCCATATAAGGACAATTCCAGTTTCACCTAGGCCAATGAGTAAATCCTCATTGTTTCGTTTCTTAGGGAATGCGACACATTAAGAACAAAAACAAAACTAATTTTGTGAATTCTTCTTGAATGTTCCACTATGTCTTTGGACACATATTTTATCTTAAAGAATGAAACTGATGCCATAAAATATAAACTATGCAAATTACTGCCTTTCTTCATTTCCTTTGAGTTGACAGGAAAACATGAGAGAAATATGAGCATATTATTTGTGCTTTTTATTGGTGTAGTAAGTTAAAACATCAAACCATCCCCTTAGAAAAATTGGTATACAGGGGCACAGCCAGAATAATTTTCTGAAAGTCTTCAGAGGCTCTGGCATGGTGCATATCTGAATTTTGTAGATGTATTGGGAGTGAACACGTGTAAGAAATATATCATATGTTAAAAGCAGCCCCTCAGGACACAAAATACTATTCTCACAGTGATGCATAAATATGTTCAGCGTTCTTTATGAGAAATGTATTGCATCTAAACTAAGATGTGCTGGACTCTGACGAGCAGGCCAGATGGTTGAAACTCACCTGAACTTTCCTGGGCAGCATTCAGAAAAAAAACAAAAAACAAAAAACCAGGAGCTCTTTCTGTTGTTTGTTTCACTTCTTCTTTCCCCAAAGAAAATCACATTTTTTAGGTCATCAAATACTAATTGATCTGGTTTCACTTTGGCAACTGTTTAAAGTGGTTACCTTGGGAACCCCCAAGAACCAACAAAGTACTGTACTTCTGCTGTGCCGACGCTGAGCCGTGTGGAAACTTCCTTCAGGGGACTCATCATTTATCATCTCACAAACAGGAACATTGATCTTGCCTCCACAGTGGCCGCTGTGTGTCTGCTCGGAGGGGATGACTGCCTCTCTTCTCTGAAAGGCTTCTGTGCTGGCTTCTCTGGGGTCTAGGATTATTGCACCAGGTACTCCTACAGCTGAGCCTGCAGTTGGCCTTTCAGAGACAGCATTAGTATCAATGCACTCAACTGATGCACTGAAGACACTCCTTGTGTATGCATGCTAAGCCGGTGATTCAACCTGTGGGTCGCCCCCCTGCAGGGGTTGCAAATGGCCTATGTAGCGAAATTGCAGTTATGAAGTAGCAACAAAATAATTGTATGGTTGGGGGGTCACCACAACATGAGGAACTGTGTTAGAGGGTAGCTGCATTGGAAAGGTTGAGAAACACTGTTCTAAGTCCTAATTAAAGGGAGAAAAAAAGAGCCTGCTCTGCTACTCACTCTGCTTGAAACTTCCCAGACTGAAACACCCAGAAAAGAGCCAAGGGCAGGAAAATCTAAGGGTATCAGCTGAAGTACCACAACAAGGGCTGGGGCTCTACTGAATACTGGAAGACGACTCGGTAAGTATGTGGAGTGTGCCTTGGGAACCCATTGTTAGGGCTCATGAAGGATGGGCTGGGTCAAGTTAGATAGACTAGCAATTTATTACGTTGAGATCCCTGGGCAGTCTCCCAACAAGTTCACTTGAGAGTACAGGGTTTAATAACAAAGCAGAAGTCAGAGGGCCTGAGGCTCGGGGTGGAGGAAACTGTCAACCTGTCAACATAGGAACTTACTGTTGGGGTAATGACCAGACACGGTGCCTTCACACCCTGATGAAGCTTTATTTTTTTTTCTTTGACTGGTTCATAGGAAATCTTTTTTTTTATTTATTTATTTATTTATTTATTTATTTATTTATTTATTAAAGATTTCTGTCTCTTCCCCACCGCCGCCTCCCATTTCCCTCCCCCTCCCCCAATCAAGTCTCCCTCCCTCGTCAGCCCAAAGAGCAATCAGGGTTCCCTGCCCTGTGGGAAGTCCAAGGACCACCCACCTCCATCCAGGTCTAGTAAGGTGAGCATCCAAACTGCCTAGGCTCCCACAAAACCAATAGGTGCAGTAGGATCAAAAACCCACTGCCATTGTTCTTGAATTGTCAGTAGTCCTCATTGTCCCCTATGTTCAGCTAGACCGGTTTTAACCCAGGCTTTTTCAGACCCAGGCCAGCTGGCCTTGGTGAGTTCCCGATAGAACATCCCCATTGTCTCAGTGTGTGGGTGTCACTCATATTTGGTTTCTAGCCATAAATAAAGGACATTGAGCCTATAATTCGGGTTCTTAGAGAAGCTAAATAAGGAGAACCCAAAGAAAAACATATAGGCATCCTCCTGAATATTAACCTTCATCAGGCGATGAAAGGAGACAGAGACAGAGACCCAAGCACCGGACTGAAATCTCAAGGTCCAAATCAGGAGCAGAAGGAGAGACAGCACGAGCAAGGAACTCAGGACCTGATGAAGCTTCTTAAATGCTCTGACTCACAAAGGCAGCACGCTATCACCCCCAGAGACTGAGGCTTGCAGAGTTAGCAGAGTGTGGCTAACTAGAGGAGGCAAGGCTTTTGTCACATAACAGTCACTGAGAGTCCAGTGCGACTCCTCTTTATGGGGTTGCTTTCTTGGGAATCATCCTCCAAGAAGCAGTCATGTGGCCTTTCCATTGTCAAGGAAACTGCAGGTGACTTCTCAACCATTGCAGCTCTGATGACGAAAGAGTAACCCAAACAGTGTACCCAGAGATAAGGTTCGCAGCTGTTGTCTTACATCGCGTAGCCACCCTTACTTCTCAGTAAGTGGGAATCCAACGCTTGACTCACTGCAGGCTTGGTGGAGCAGATAAATTCAGTTCTCTATGACTAGGCTGGAGACACACCCAGGACCCCCAACAAAAGGAGGGACAGAAGAGAAATAATAATTGTTAAGCATATAGTCAATGTTTCGATAGAGAAAAGAGGAAACGGAGCACTTCGTAGCCCTGTTATCAGCAGAGCCAGAGCAAACACTGGGGGTACCACAAGTGAGGAAGCCCCCTGGACAGGTCCCGGCTATGCAGTTCTGGATTTGGTGGTGGTTCTGTATCTGATGCACTCCTTCATACCAAGGTGAGTTTTGTTAAAGTAATAACTAACACTTTGTCAATGCCCCTGAAAATAGAAGGCACTGGTTTGCTGCTTCTGTAGACACCTTACAAAAAGGAGTATATATCTAGTGATAAGACTTCTTCACAAATATATTAGTTTAGAAATAGGTTATAGAGTCTAGTTAGAGATTGTCATGAAGAATTTCACAGCTAGTTTCAAAAGTTACAAATTCAGAGACAAACAACAATAAGGAAATGATGTCATACTATAACTGAAGGCATTTTGCTTTTGGTTTCTGTTGAAATTTCTTTGGTATCCATGACTTTTTCATTTTACCTAAAATGTACAAAAAGCTTACGAAATGTCTCTCTTGTCCTTATACTGACTAATTTAATTAGTTAGCGAAAGCCAGGAAGATATATGCTTTATATACATGGAAAGAATGGATGGAAAGGATCAAAATGTAATTTTATAAAGAAGAAAAACAGAAAAAGAGAGCAGAAAGACAGAAAAAAAAAACAGAATTCAATGAATTATAATTAACATTTTATTGCCTGTTATTTCTACTTATTGGTAATATGTTCTCTTCCATAGTTGTCTGGTGATAAATCTATGTAGTTGTTATTAAAAGCTTATGTTTTGAAATATAATGAAGTTTTGGAAATCAGACTGTCTCATTTGTTTAGCGTTACTTAAAATGCAATGTGGGAAAACTTTTAAATAAGGCCCACAAGGAGCCAGGCTTGCTAGGTGTTTCCCACACAGTCCCACCGGGAACCTAAGGTGTCTCTTTGATCACGTTGAACAGACCTGCTTTGGCTCCTCAGGGCTGGGTACTGACTTGTCCCTGTTCTTCACAGGACCAAACCTAATAGGCATGCGATCTGCACTTGATAGTGGGATGGGTCCTGGGGCTCTGATGGGAAACCAGGCATGACAGGCAGCTGTAGTCCTCGGTTTCTAATGCTGAGAACCTGTGGAACCGAAGGGAGCGTGCATAGACAGGTATGTCCACCAACGAGGAAGAATCTATATGGATAATACTTAGTGCCAGATGAGATTGGCAGGATGTATTTAAGTACTGGGAAACTGGTAGCAAACACCTGCTCTATACAGAATGTTAAGGGTGGCGGCTAATTGCATCTGGACTTATGGAGTGTTTTGTTTGTGGCCACAACTTGAACCTGAGGGTGATATTTGAGGATTACTCAGAAATATAGCAATGGGAAAAATAAAGTGTTGTATATGTTATCCTGTTGCTCATTTATATTTTTATGAGCATGTCCAGTTTTTCACTGTGTGTGTAACATAGTATATCTAGTTAAACATATCCTTTGGTTTAGGCATTCATCCCCCTAATCCAGAACTGAGTTCTGTGGCTGACTATACTGCAGAGGGTTAAAAAAGGGACACAAATTCTTTTTATGTAATAAATTAAAAGAGCATGAATTCTCCCATTGGCTTTTCAATTTCTGCCACTCAGGTGGTGCCTGGAATTAGATGCTACCACAAGTCACTCACAATGGCTCTAAAAATAGGGCTACCGATGTAATTTTGGTTGTAAATGAATGCTCCAGGCAGAAGAATTATTTGGAAAGAGAAAATTTTATTTCTGAACTTCAATAGAATTTGGCCAGTTCTCACGAACACTGGGGAAGTCCATCATCAATGGCTAAAACCTGACTCAACTTAGTTTCTAGAAACATCTGTCATGAGAGAGACTGCACTCCTGTTTTTTCTACATTTCAAGGAGGGCACTCAAGAAATTTAAATTTACTCGCAAATTTAAATTTGTCACATGAACAAATTCCTTCTGGTCACCTTCAAAGATAGAGAACGTATTTCTAATTGTAGATAGGCAATCTTTGTTTATTTTACTCGTTTTAATTTAACAATCTAATGGCTTTGGGTTGTGTTTTAGCTGATATCCAAGAGAAAAATGAGTTAGGGATATTGTCATCTTGAGGCTCTACAAATAAATACGGCTATTATGTTAACTATATTTTAGTATATGGCTTACAGTTCATTTGATAATAGTGCAAGTTTGAATGTATGAACCAAACAACTTTAACCTTTTTATCCCTAACCATAGATGACAGCTCCTTTACAAAGGGCTCGTATGCTTTAAACAGTCACACAGAGACCAAGCCTAGAGATGTTTGAAGAAACTGAGTCAGCTAATCACAGGAAACATGGAGTCAGATGTTGAAGCTCCAGTAGTATCCAGCCTTTGTTGAAATCTTTCTACTCTACTTTGAGATATCTGTGGTCTATTTGAGCACCTTGTACTGTCCATAGAACAACTGATTTTTTTTCCTCAAACATACTGCCTATGGCATAGAAAACTGGGGAGATGGGGAGAAAGCATCTTGCCATTAATGGTCAAAACTTAGTAAAAATATGTTTGAGTTGTTAAACTTGAAAGAGAATTCTATTTTTAGCAGCTATAAAATCAGAATGCAAGGTAAATTCTAAGGGAGAGCGCTTACTGATATAAAATATTCAGTTACCTCCCCACTGAGATATTCAACAGAGTCATTATTTACTTCAACAATTTAATTGCAAAGGATAAACAGATGTTTGTTATTTTTACAAGCACTGTATTAAGACACTTCCTCTTCTACCAGTCAGTAAAAGTCACTACAGGGTATTAATTTTGACGGATTTTATTTTGCCTGACCTAGAACTCCTGGTAATGAAAAGCAGTGAAGGTAGGGGTATATTAAACATGATGTCAGGAAATGCTGATATCTGAAGACGAAGCTTTCATAATTTGAAGCAGCGGCTGTCGTTGTTGTTACTGAGGATATTTCAGCTGAGCTTCTCAGGCTTACTGCATTAGAAATGCTTCCCCTTCACTCATGAAAAGTCTATTACAGTGTCTGTTTCATTATCATGATAATGATTGGTGTAAAAATTCACGCATATGGGTGGAAGTGTCACAGAAATAGAAACAGGATTATTCTGTTGAAAACTGTCATAATTCTGATAAGTTTATTTGAAAATAAAGGAGAAAACAGAAAGACTCGAATGACTTCTATATGTTCTCCCGTTAGGGCTGCTGTGTTGTTATTACTCCAGCTTGAAGAGTAGTAGCAATATGTTAAGTAAGATCTTGTAAGATGTGATTAAATAATGAAGCAAAAATGTCTGGTATTCGTTTTTCGAATTTATCCATTTAATGAAGGTCTTACCCTTGCCTGCACTGGAATTAGACTTTGAAAATGTCTAGCCATTGAAATAATTTTTCAGTAAAAACTTCTCTTATTGATTCATTGTTAAAAAAATATTTATTGTGGAAGTGCTGAGGGGCTAACCAAGGTCTCCCATGTTCTAAGCAAGGTTCTCCCACTCAGCTACATCCTAGCCCTGTAACTCATTTTGATTGCTATTAAGCTTCAAAAGCATATATTTCGTAGTCTGAGATTGAGGTATGGTCCAAGTTCACTTCACACACACACACACACACACACACACACACACACGCACATTCACACGCACACGCTGAATCAATAATTAATGTCTTATTGTTTTAAGTGAGAAGGCACAGCCCAGGTGGAAGCCACACACACTTTTCATCTTTAAGGTCAAGCTCCAGAAAAATCTCTGGGAAAAACTCCAAATCTCTAATCTCCAGGTCCCAGCCGGAGCTGTTGCATTCTCCTTGACCTCAAGGGCTAAGACTATTTATCCTCATTCACTTAACCTAACTTGCTACTCTCCACCCACCCCGTTGTCAAGTTGTTTTCTGGAGGAAGAAATTCTTAGATGTCTTTTTCCGAGTTTGTGGCCATGTTTCTTTGTCCTCCCCTGTCCTGTTCTAATTTGGGTTCTTAAGACAATACATTGTTTTCTCCCAAACTGAAAGTACTACAAATTTATCCTGAATTTTAAAAGAAAATTTCTCTTTCTCACATTACAAATTGCTACTAATGTTAAGTTTCCTGTCATATTGACTTCAAGGGAAAGGGTGATGGGGGTCGAACCTAGAACTTCCTACAATAACGTCTACCACCAAGTCCCTAATTTAAAAACACATGAATTAAACTGGCAGTGTTTATGTTTGTTATTAATTGCTTAGGACTTTTCCCATCCTGAGGCCTGCTCTAAGTCCTGAATACTAATCCTCTCCTGATTACTTCTTTTTCTTCTAGCTCTACACATTTGTTCAGTGGATTCTAGTGGAATCTTTCCTTGTGTGTATTGTGAACTTTAATTCACCCTTTGTGAGTCAAATCAGAAGTCTCTTTGCACCTATTGTGCTGTGAGTAATTTTTCAATTAATTAATGATTTACATGTCATTCTATCCCAACAGACCATGATTTTGCAACTCAAAAGTAAAACCCCATACGTTTGCATTCCCAGCATGCCAGAGAGATCATAAGCAGTTGCTAAGTAACTACCTGATTTTATGCTAGAAAGTAGCAGCCAGTTTTCCTTAGAGTTGACAATGTGATGACCTAACATTTGTCTCCCATGTTTCCCATAGGGTTTGACCATCATGCTGCCTACCTTAGTAATTCTTGTGGGGTCTTGGGCAACAATGCAAGCTGACTTACTTTCTGACAAAAAGGGTAAGGATCTTCTATCTAATAATGTTTGGTTTTGATAAAGTATATTATAAAAAAAAGATAATGGGATTTTCTCTGAAAAGCCATTCGATTGGGAAATTTTTATAAAACAGTATAAACTCTTGAGATTTTAAGGAAGCGGCATGGGCAGAAATGTAAATTCTATGCTGCAGTGGCAAATTCAATTCTAGGAGTAAATATGGGCAGTGTGGAAGAGGGCAGCCTCTAGAGGCCACATTTCGAACCCCATCTCCACCGGGACTTTCATAAAAGTCTTCACAAGAGGCAAAAGCAAACTTATACCATTTTTCTTTTCATTTCCCCCACTGAAACTTGTTGATCTAAGGGTTTGGTATAATAATGGAGGTTAAGAGGGGAAAACTGTTTGATGGCACCAGCCCAGCTCTGTCTAGAAGTCTCTATAAAGACGGTATTCTCGTTCAGTACTGCCCAGCGCATAGCCACTGTCCACATAATCACCAAACAATCAAAATGTACACAGTGCACCTAGAAAAATGAACTTTGGGGTTTAGTTAGGTAATTTAGATTTGAAAAGCCACAGTAGCCAGTGGTTGCTGGAATAAGGTAAACTACATAGACAGTCCTGCATGTCAAACACAGCTGCAGAGTCAAGAAGGGCTTTTGAGGTCAACGGAAAACACTGACAATTCAGTAAATGAATAAATTAAAGATTTTACTATGTACGGTGTCGCCCTGGTTTGGGTGAAAAATTTTAAGAAGTTGTTTAAACATACACCCAGATAAATATAACAAAATAAGATGTGGGTTGAATTATTTTTTTACTTTCTTCTTATCGCTCATTATGTTTTACAGCATTTCTATAATAACTTTTGATTCCTTAATTAAGTAAAATGTTTTATTTTGAGAGCAAATCTTTTTTTTTCTACTCAGATACGTTAGACTATGTCTCATACTGAGAAATAAATACATTTACATCATGAATCACTGATCTTACAAATAAGTAGGTACTTTTATGCAATGGACACCGGATGTCCATGAGGCAACTTTGTTTCATGTTTGATATACATCTCTCCCAGCCCCTGGTGTGTTCGATTTATATTCTATACTATTCTGAAAAGAAAAGAAGAGGGGTTAGCGCTCCAGAAATTGTTATCACATACCATTCACTGGTTATGAAGTTTACTGTGACAGCTACAGCTTTAATGAATAGCAATATGGTAGATTGATCATATTCAATAAAACCATGCAAATATTCAGGTAATACCTGGACAATGAACTAGCAATAACTTTAAAGAAACTTTTGCCAAATTACTTCTGTGTCATATATTCTCAGTTGCCACAACAAATCAGTATGCTATTTAATAATGTAAATAATTAAAATATGTTAAGGATAAGGAATAGAGCTCAGTTGTAATATACCTGTCCCACAGTCACGGGCCCTGAGTTTCATACCCATCACCATACAAAAAGCGCTCTTTATGGACGGCTGAACAATCGCATCATTTGTTGTTGTTGTTTTTTGAATCAATAGTTTTACTTCTGCCACCTGTCAATTTTACCATTAAAGCCACTGGATTAGCCCAAGTTCGTTTACACTGGGACCCAAATCCTGACCAAGAGCAAAACAATGTTGATCTACAATATCATGTGAAAATAAATGCTCCACAAGAAGATGATGTAAGTGTTGGGTCTAATGACAATCATTACGGAGAGTGAATATTCACTTTTAAACTGTATTTTATTCATAAAGTGAAATTCTTGATAAATAACAATCAATTACTAAAGATCTTCTTGTGTTACCAGTAGGATCTGTAAAGTGAATTAGGCCCATGTTTATTATTCAAAATGAAACAGTAGCATAGAAGGCTTTATCTTGAAAAAAATTCTCTCTCTCTTCTCTCTGTCTGTATTCTCTTTCTCCCTTTCTCGCTCTCTCCTGTGTGTGTGTGTGTGTGTGAGAGAGAGAGAGAGAGAGAATGTACACACGTGTTTTATGCACTTGTCATGTGCATAACACGTGTGTGTTTGTGTGTGCGCATGCACGTGTGTGTGCAGGAGTTTGAAGGCCACAGGTTGACTCCTTGATTCTTCTCCAAGACATCTTTTTTTTTTTTTTGAGAGAGAAGTCTCTCATTGAATTGCAAGGTCATCAATTTGACTAGGCTTCAATAATCCACCTATCTCTGCCCTACCCCAGTGTTGGAATTACAGGAGAATGTTGCTATGTGCTTGAATTTTACGTATGTTTTAGGGACCCAAACTGAAGTCGTGTTCACTGACATTGTGTTCATTGACTGACCCATCTTCCCAACTATTTACCAATATTTGAAGTGTAATGTATTTGATAGTACTGCTTATATAGCTCCTCAAATGTCAATAAAACTAGAAGAAAGTAGTGAGAAAAATAGTACAACGTAAAGGTGTAGGCTTGGAAAACCCAAGGTGAAGGCCAAGTTCATTCACTACCTTTGCTTACATCCTCACGTCTTGAGTTGATTTCTTGGATTCATGATAAGGATATGCGAACACACCTGCTGTGTATCATTTTGTAGTAAGGTGAAAGAAAGGGAGATATAATTTGTATTAACCATTTTGGAGTAAACACAGAATTTTAAAGAATTCCCTGTCAAGAAGTTTCTCTTAGAAAGGAGACTGGCATTAGAGATGAGGATCAAAGGAACTTGAACCTTAAATATAATACGATGTTTGTCATTAAAAGAGGAATATGTTCACATGTCATTGAGAAACTATATTAATATTACAAAGCCCCTTTCTTAAGAAAATTACTTCATTCCATTTTATTTATTATCATTTTCAAAGTGGAATAAAAGGCCTATTTGATTAATGTTGTTTTCTCTTATGTGCCACAACTGGTGGATTTTATTTTAGTATAATACCAGGAAGACTGACAGCAAGTATGTGGCCCCTCTGCATGACGGCTTTGCAGCTAGTGTGAGAAGCATCCTAAAGAGAAGCCACATTTTCCTGGCCAGCAGTTGGGTTTCTGCTGAACTCAAAGCTTCACCAGGTAAAGGCGGCATGGGACATCCAAGTTTCATATTTTACACTTTCCAAAATGGGAAAGAAAATAATCCACTTTTCTTTAATCCAGCGCCACACCTTCCAATCTCCTTCATAGCACCCACATTCTAATCACAACTGTCATAGGCCATCCAGGTCCACCTGTTGCATCCCTGCAAGCACACCCTTTTATCTACATAGGCCTCCAAGGAACATTGGGAATTCTAATACACATAAGCAGAGATAGCTCTGGTTAAATATTTTAACACAGACAGACACAAGTGCAAGAGGGAAACAAGGGAGGAGACTGACCATCAGATCCTGGGATATGTGACTTCCTGAATCACATACATCTTAGCCCCATGTCTATGATTGTTTTTCAAGTCTTTCTCCTATCTGCATCATTAGAGAAGAAGACCTGCCTCCTGTATGTATTATTAGTCAGCTTTATTTTTACTATATCAAATATGTAAGATAATACTCTTATTTTGGCTTCTGCTTTCGGTGGAGGTTTCCACCCATGACCTGTCAGGCCTAATTTTAGTCCGCCTAACAACACAGTAGAGAATTCTAGAAGCAGGTGGTAGAAGTCTATAGCCAGGAAGTGAAAGGGAGACATGAAAAGGGCAAGGGTTCAAATATCATTCCCTTTAAAGATTTGTCCCCTAAGACTTCCCCCAAAGGCCCCAACTCAGAAAGGGTTTTCTACTTCCCAACTACATCATAAGCTGCAGAATAGTCTTTAACAAATAGAACATGGTGCACACTTAACCAAAGCCTCTGAACTGTGTTGGTAACAACACAGATGCTTGTATTTACTCATCATTTTTCAGGGAGTTACCAACAGGCTTGCCCTTAAGTAAAGAGATACTTCAATGAATATAGATTAATATAAATATGGCCATTGTGTTAAGGCATTATTTTACCTCTACTGAATAGCTGAACTTCTTTAATGTGATATTCCTTTCAATGCTAAGTTTCTACAATTTACTCCCATAGACCCCCCCATACATGTTTACACTAATCAAATATTTAGTTCACTGACCAAGTGAAAATTCATATTGAATTATTTCTTGGGTTGGAACCGGGTAACTGCTGGCTTATTTTGACATCACATAGACTGTGTGGATGTTTAGTATGTGGACACATGCATACATGCATGTATGCACACACAGAGTGAGGAGAGAAGCCCTGTATCCATAGGCTACACATTCATGGATTCAACTAAATGTGGATCAAAAGCACTCTATGACAAAAGCATTGAAGCATCCATACTGCTCATGAACAGATTGTTTCAGGCCACTATTTTTTGAATAAGACACTTTAGCAACTATTTATTAAGTGCTTACATTAAGTATTCTAAGTTATCGATAAAGGATTTAAACTAGGCCAGAGACTATGTAAGTTATATGCAAGATAGCATCATATAAGATGCCATCTTAGTATGGGGGAATGTTCTGGAACAGATACCATAGATACAGAGGCATGATTTTATTGATACATGTGTCTATGTCATATATAATATGCATATATATATCATAAATCAAACTAACAAGTTTTCTGTCTCCAACCTCCATATGGTAATAGGAGGCACTATCCTCTCCCTCCCTCCCTCTGTTCGTTGAAAGACATTCAATGACAGTGAGAAAAGTTAATCTATAGTTGTTTTAAGAAAAAAATAAAAACCCATCTATCATTCAGGGTTTCCTCTTTAAGGAGGTTCTCCCTGGCCCTAGCCCCCAAAATATTTTTTCCCTCCTTTGAGGAACAACAGCAAGTTTATTTTATAGAGTTCTCTGAATAGCATGAACATAACTTGGGGAAATCCAGGGCAAATCTTTGAAATCTCCTCCGATTTTAAGTCGTGGTATGTTAAGGAGACTGGCAGGCCGACATACACTCATCTCTAATGTAATGGTAAGATCTTGGGGGTATTGTCAAAATGCATCTCCTGAGCAGCATTCCATGCAATTCATGAGGCATAGATACCAAGGAATGGCTCATAGGATTCAAGATGGAAGGGGATTCTGGAGAGATTCCGTGACCTAACCTCTCATTGACAGCTGGAAAAACTGGAATTCAGCCATTACAGGGGGAACTGCCTCATAGTCAGGTACTGACAAATATAGCACTGCAGTGCTGAAGCTGTTGGACACATGACCCCAGACTTGAACTTTCAAACATCCGTTGCACTGACATGCCCCCATGTCTTACGCTAACACAGCCATGAAGTTCTTTCAGGTCAAACCCTGAGGCTCTATAGCTCTAGTTTCATTTCTCCAGTACATTTGCCCTTTGCAAATGAGTTTCTATAAATGGATGTTCGTGGTCACTCACAATCAATAGCATCTCAAGCAAAAGCACAAAATTCATAAGCCATCAAGGCAATGTTTTGTTCTTTTTATTTGTGGTCGCCTAGGGTCTTCTGGAACCTCGGTTATGAATTTGACGTGTGCCACAAACACTGTCGTGAGTAGTCACACCCACTTAAGGCCATACCAAGTGTCTCTTCGCTGCACCTGGCTTGTTGGCAAGGATGCCCCTGAAGACACACAGTACTTCCTATACTATAGGTCAGTATCTATTTTTACTTATGCAAATTATCCATTTCCTCTTCCCTTATAAAAACTGATGGGTATTCCAATGTAGGTTTGGTGTTTGGACTGAAGAATGCCAAGAATACAGCAGAGATACACTGAACAGAAATACTGGATGTTGGTTTCCCAGGACGTTTATCAACAGCAAAGGGTTTGAGCAGCTTGCAGTGCACGTTAATGGCTCAAGCAAGCATGCTGCAATCAAGCCCTTTGATCAGCTGTTCGCTCCACATTCCATTGGTAAGCCAGACTTAACTCAACACTGGAATTGAGCACAATCTTGGTATTGGAAAGGGTCTTGCCACTTTTCAAATATTAAACAACCATATAATCAACATGGGAAAAAAATTGAGGCATTCATCCGACCTTTAACTCACCTTAAATGTTTGACTGGATGATTTGGCAATGTAGGAACCTGTTCTGGCCATGGGAAGATGTTGAGTGGCCTGCCTGGCCCCATCCATGAATTTTCTAACTCTTATCTTTCCTGTTGGTTCCCCTCGCCTAGTTGTGACTATTCAAACCTCAAACATATCCTATTGAGGGCAGAGTTCTCCCCAGTTGAGAATAACTGCACCAGGAAAACTCATAGCAGTGCTTATCTGTTCAGGCTGCTATCATGAAATGTGTGTCTACAAGTCTTATACTAGGTTGTACCCAGAACAGTTCTGAGGTTCTTCCCCAAGGTGTGGCCCTTCTGCAGTCCAAAGGTATTCATTCAGCTTCTCCATCCTGTGACTCCTCTTTCAAAGCTAACCTTCTCCAGTTTTTACTGGGTCTTTGTAGTGGTTTGGACTCATCGCTAGACTGTTAGACAATATGTACACAGGTCTCTTTCTCCTCCACCCTCCTCTTTGCTTCCCCACTCTTTTATTTTTCTTCATATGTGTATGTGTGCTGTATGCGTATTTGTGCAGGTGTGCTGGTCCATGCAGAAGCCTGGGATTGCCATCACAATATCTTCCTCACTTGCTTCTCTGCTTTATTTTGTAGGGCACAGAGACTTTTACTGGATCTGGAACTTGCCATTTTTGCTAGGCTAGGCCCTAGGATCTACTTATCTCTACTACCCAACCTCCAACCCCAGCTCTGGGGTTACAGCTGTTTTCACCTGGGTGCTGGGAATCTAAACTCAGGTCCTGACACCAGTATGGAAGTATTTTACTCCTGAATAGATTTATTTAGCTTAATCTGTTCTTTTTATGTAGAAGCTTCTTTTTCTATATGACAAAACAGAACAACAATAACAAAAAAAATAAATAAATACTGAAACCAAAAAGGAGTAGTGATTTACCCAGTGCTATCCCTCTCCTGGGAAATGGACATGGGGCAAATGGTCCATGTTCTGTCCATGAGCACAGTCTAACTTGGAAAGTTAAAGGGATGCTGGGTACACCTTGCAATGAGCTAACAGGGGAAAGGTGTCAATCAGTCCCTTCTATTTGGAGTAGTGATTTTGTTCTTTATATGTGTAGATCTATTCAGTGAGCCATACCAAAAACCTCTTGGGAAGCCACTTACTTCCTGTGGCTTTGAGATTGGTTGATTGAGACTTAATGGTAAACCGTGAAAAAGCATATCTTAGAAATGGTGGGTTGGGGCTATCATCCCTGATCATTGGGTTTTCAGAATTGCCACTGACCTATCTCTTCTCTAGATCAAGTAAATCCTCCAAGGAATGTCACAGTTGAACTTGAAGAAACTTCTCTTTATATCCAATGGGAGAAACCAGTTTCTGCCTTTCCAGTCCATTGCTTTAACTACGAATTGAAAATTCACAACACAAAGAATGGCTACTTTCAGGTAATTTTAAAAATCATTCCTTTATTCTATGTTAGACACCCATTATTTGTGAAACATTTAAAACAGTGGCTCTCAGTCTTCCTAATGCTGTGACCCTTTAATACAGTTCCTCATATTGTGGTGACGCCCAACCACAAAGTCGTTTCCATTGTTGCTAAATAACTGTAATTTTGATACCGTTATGAGACCTAATGTAAATATTTTTGGATATAGAGGTTTGTCAAAGGGGTTGCAACCCACAGTGTGAGAGCTGCTGCTTTAAACGTAGTGACTGCTTTGGGTATTTTTAAGTGTCAACAAAGTCAATGTTGACTTACACCTGCCCTAGGTATTACAGAAATAAATCAAATCTTACATTACTTTCATTTTGAAAAAACATACTTTGAGTTGAAAATAATATAAAGGATAAAATAAAACCCATTTGTAAGAGCTTTGCTAAAAAATACAAATGATACAACTACTGGGGAAAATGGGAAGGCAAGTTTTCCAAAAGTTAGAATTATCATAAGAACCTGTGGTTCTCCTTTTAGGTATATATGCAAATGATTTCAAAACAGGGTCTCAAAAAGATATTTGGGCACCCATGCTCACAACAGCATTACTCACAATAGCCAATTGTGAAGAGCTGAAGCAGCCTCCATATTCATTATCACATGAATGTAGTCAGGTTTGGTGGCACACATCTGTGACTCCAGCACCCAGGAGAGAGGCTGAGATACGAATGGTGTAAATTTGAAGCTAGTTTGAACTATATAGCAATTTTCTTACCTAAAAACAAACAAGTCAAACCCAAAATCCTACAGAATATGAATAGAAAAACAGAATGTATTGCCGGGCAGTGATGGTGCCCACTGCCTTTAATCCTAGCACTTGGGAGGCAGAGGTGGATCTCTGTGAGTTCAAGGTCAGCCTGGTCTATAGAGCACAATACCGGACAGGCTCCAAATCTGCACAAGGAAACCCTGTCTTGAAAAACCAAAAGAAAAAAAAGAGAAAAAGAAAAACAAATATGACATATATATTAATATATACAAAGAGACAATATTCAGTCTTTGAAAGGAAACTCTGATATACGCTACGATACGAATGAACCTAAGGACAGCAAGCAAAGTGAAATAAGCGGATCACAAAGGACAAATGTATATGATTCTGCCTGTGTGAGATGCCAAGGTTAGTAAAACACATATAAACAGAAATTAGCACAATGGCTACCAGGAAATGGGGAATGGAAAATGAGGAACCATTGTCTAATGAAAACAGAGTATCCAGATTGTGAATTTTTGATCATTGGGTGATGGGAATTGAAGAGAGGGGTTCATGAATGCAGAATATGAGACACACCCTCAACCAGCAACTTCAGACTTGCAAGATGAAAACAGTGTTGTAGTCTGGTTGCACAATAGCATGGCTGTTCAACATTTTTGGCCTGCACACATGACAATGGTGCAGGTGGCATATCTTACACCCATGGAGTTTTATTATGTTATTTTATGCCTTGTCCACAATAACTTGCATAATTACACTTCCTGTTTTATTGACAATTAAGCCCCATCCCCCCAAAAAGATGAATAATTTCTCAGTCATGAAGGTAAAGAAGAAACATAGAGTTGGGATTCAACCTCATGTCCTACAAATAAAAGAAATGAAGAACCTATGAGACACCCCAGCTGGTGAAGGCATTTGCTGCTAAGTATGCTTTCTTGAGTTCAATTCCTGGAGCCCACAGGTGGAAGAAGAGAAGAGACAGCCTCAAGTTATCCTCTCACCTCCATATCCATGCTGGGGCATACATAATACATATATACAAATAAATAAATGCAAAAATAAGTAACAGAAACAAAGTAAACACAGTTTAATTAAATTTAACCACTACCTACTAATAGGTTTCTTAGGATAATACATAAAGAGAAATAAGGCCTTGTTTTGTAGTCTGAAATAAACTAATATATATGTTGTATTAATTTTAAATTATGTGCTATATCATGGGGAACACTATTTTCATATGATCTGCCAAGTAGGTAATTCACATAAAAATAAATGGGCATGGGCCTAGAGAGATGGCTCAGTGGTTAAGAGCATTGACTGCTCTTCCAGATGACCCAGGTTCAATTTCCAGCACCCACATGGTCTCTTATAACTGTCTGGTTCCTCACACAGACGTACATACAGATATATATATAGAGAGAGTAGGCAGAGTCAGTGAGAAACTATGTAGCCACCAGAGGAGACAGATGCCGGAACTTTGCCTGGTAAGCCACAGCCACATGGCAATACACAGATTAATAAAAATGGCTTAATTTAAGACATAAGAGTTAGCAAGAAGATGCTTAAACTATTGGCCAAACAATATTGCAAATAATATAGTTTCTGTGTGATTATTTTAAATCTGGACTGCCGGGAAACAAATGAGCAGCCTCTGCCAACAGCAAAATATCAACACAATAAAAATAAATAAATAAAAATAAATAGACATATGAGTTCTGCTCTGGTAAATAGCACCAGAGCCTCTGTAACATAGGAAAGATCAACAGAGTACAGAAGAGAGAGGGGGAAAACAACCTTGTTTGCCTCTACAGCATGGAGCTGAATGCAGCCTGAGCAGAGGTGGAGCGTCAGACAGAAACTTGCCTACTGAAGTAAAAAGAGAAGGACATGATAGGATGTGTTTCCAGAAATATTCTTGTGAAGCACTGGCTTTCTCTTGTAAATTTCTAATCTGCCATAGATTAACAGTTTTATAAAATACATTCATAAGGGTCAGCTAGGAAACAAACAAAACAAAACAAATACAGCCAAAGACATGAAAATGCAAACCATCTAATCATGTGCTTGGATGTTACAGTCGTGTCCAACGGTTCTCCATTTCTAAACGGTGCTCTCACTGTCTGCACAGATCTTATCATAGAGCAGCAATCAGCACTTCCTGACCTGTACCAGTCCACAACCACACTGTGCCTGCTAGGGTGTACCAGAGGCTCGAGACTGCATGCTTCCTTCAGTTAAGTGGTAGTGACTGAGCTGGCCTCCACACAAGGCTAACACTAGACTTGTAACTCTACTAAAATAGGAACTTCAGAGTAGCTCTGTAAGGTTTTTACTAAAAGCTGAAGAGCATCTACTTTAAAACCATGGTCATGGACAATGAGCAGCATCAAAGAATTTTTCACGATCGAGAAATGTAGTACTTACGGGTTAGAAGGGTAATCTTGGTGGCAGTGTGAAAGTTGGATGTGAGGGGGGAACATGTGGCTACAGAGATGTGAGCTATTAGGACCATCCAAGCAGTAAAGCAGAAAGCCTACACAGGGTGTGGCCATTGGGCAAAGATGAACAGGCACAAAATACATGCTGTTTAGTACTATGACTTACCAATGAGGAAGGACAAAGTAACAGAGATTATGTACAGTGTTGAAGATTACTCCATTTTTTTTCCATGGGGAACATTATTCTGTCTACACAACTTTACCTAGTCCTTCAGCTGGCCATTTTATATATTTTAGTTACAAGATCACCTTCTCCCTCAGGGTAACTGCCAAGACCTCACACAGGAACAGTGTAGAATAAACTCATGACTGTGCCCTTTTGATTTTAGATTACTTGCTAAATAATGAGTCACATTACCTACATGAGACCTCTCAAGCCGGTGTTCTGCAATAATTGTATGTCTAGGCATTATTATAATGTTAATTCTTCCCATTTAGATGGAAAAACTGGCCACCAACAAATTCATCTCAAAAATTGATGATGTTTCTACATATTCTATTCAAGTGAGAGCAGTTGTGAGCTCATCTTGCAGAGAATCTGGAAGCTGGGGCGAGTGGAGTCAACCTATTTATGTGGGTGAGTTCCTGTTGTGTATTTAAAAGCAGTGGCAACAGATACTCCTGGAAAGTGCACTTGTTCATTCAGGTCTTGAAATGGCTTCATCTTTACTCTGCTTCATCTTTCATCCATCTACTGTGTCTTCAACTAGACACATGTATTCTAGTAAAGAGTGTCCCACTGTTTCCCTAGCACAAGCCCTTCCTAGGACTATTTTGCTCAATTATTTTTATTTAGATTTTTCCGTTTTGACTTCTGTCCATATTGTGAGTGTGTGTATGCGTGCATGCATGAGTGTGTGCCGTATGTACCTGTGTGTGGATATGCAGGTATGTGCGATGTATGTGTCTATAAGGATAAAGGAGGATGTTGGGATCCTATTCTATCACTCTCTGCCTTGTTTCCTTGAGACAGTCTTTTGTTGAACCTGGTTAATATTTTAGGGCTCAGTCTCTTAGCACCCTGTCCTGGTGCTTAGCATGGTGCTTACCCATACCTGCTGCAAGGTGCTTAGCAAATTAGACTGGCGTAGAGGACTCTGTGGTTCTAGCTGATTACATTACCTCTTACAAAACCCAAGGGATCTTCCTGAACAATTTGGACAGCATACTTAAAGAGAAATTTATTTTGGGCACATGCTAAAATTTCCTATTACAGTAATTTATTCACTCGGGCTGCAGGGTGGGTCATCTGGAAATTCTTGGGCAGCGAACCATTTGCTGGTGTGGTTGTGAGCGAGTGCTGATGTGACCGGGTATTTTTCCAGGGGAGAAAGGAATGGTGGAAGGGCTCGAGAGGTGGAACACTGATCTGGGTCTCGAGAATTCTGCCCCTAACTCCTGTGGCATGCCCTACAGTTGTTCAATGTACAACCAACACTGCCTTGTTTGGTGCTATGACAGCACTGGGGTGTGTGTGTGTGTGTGTGTGTGTGTGTGTGTGTGTGTGTGTCTGTTTGTAGAGCGGCATCAGCATCATGAGCTTCCTGGGGAGAGGAACTGAAAGGCAAGCAGAGGGAACCGAAAGATGGACAGACTCACCTACCTCATAATTCTTCTGAGGTGAATCTTCCTGACCCTCCCTTTCTCCCCAGCTGAAATAAACTGACCTGGTACACACAGGACTTCTCTCAAAAACACTTTATTTGAACAAATAAAACTTGCTTTGTGCCCCAGGAGAAAACTAAGATTCATTAGTCTTAGGGACTTTGAAACTAGATCTATTCATTTTGTCAAATCCTGTGACAGACACTTATTTGTACTCCATGGATTCCTTTTACATATATGTTTTATGTGTTTCTCAAGCGTGCAACCCTCATTGGTCTGAAGTGTTGATGTTTCTCATTGTTGTCTCTACATTGCAACCTAAACAAATTTGGGGGGATAAGTGACCTCAGGTCAGAATCCCGACTAAGAAATCAGTAGTGTTTGCTGAGCGCTCTAGTCTTGAAGTTATAGTTTGTGTTATTATTGACACTTTAGAACTAAAGTGGGTGAGGAAACAGCAGTAGGCAAAATCAGATCTGTAGCCATGGCTCTGCTGGGATGTAGTTCAATGATCCAAGTCAGAGATGGCTAGGTAATCAGAGGACACAGTTCAATGCTGAGAAAGATTCTAAGAATAAACTCGGGCTGTTAAGAGGGAGGATAGTCTCTGCCACCACATGGGGGACCGAGTGAAGGAGTTTGCTAGTCTGGGTTTTACTACTCCGACCTAATTCCTAACACCTGACCTTTCTGGGCCTCAGTTTCCTGTCTGTGGAAGTGATGCTTCATTCTCTGGTAGCTTCTAACTCTGCCATTCTTCAAGCTCTGGCTCCAGTCTCCAACATCCATTACCAAAGGACTGGGAGTAAGACTGTGATCCATCTGAAGAGCTTATTTCAGCTTGCTGTTAACTTATTATTCATTTTCCATTCTCCCTCTCTCTTACCGCTTCCAGAATAACTGCCTCCTGGCTGCTTGGATCTGGCCTCATTAGATTCCCCCGCACCCAGGTGCACCTCATTGTCATTTGCTACTGCAAATCCTATTTCATTTATTGCCACCCGTTTCGTGAAGACGAGCTGATTAATATTAGTGCTTACCTTATAAATCCATCCTTTCTGGAATTTACTCCCCTGCTCAGCGTAGGATCATTAGTGAATTTAATCAATGCAGACTCTCCGTTTTCATCAAGATGATTAATAAACATAGTAGGAAGTCCAAGCCCCTCAGGGACATATTGTGCATGGCTCTTCCTTACCCCTGGAGGCTGCGGTAATAATTACGCTCAGCTTGCAGTCTCTCAGGCAGTTTTGCTGCTGGGTTCATTTCCTTCAGACACTCTTCCACTTCTCCTACCTCACCTTATAAATGGCCCCGGGAGCCCTCCTGGATTTTCACTACCAGGCTCAACTGAAATATCACCCCGTACCTTTGGTGGTATGTTTACCCCATTATTTTAATTAAGGTAAGGAAATGGTAGCCTGAAGATAATAAATGACTCAATCATTGTCAAATAGCCAAGAAGTAGTTATTAATGTATAATTTCACCCAAATAAGTGCCATATGAACCAATTAGCAAATTAGAACAGTTTAACTAATTAACCCATTCTAGCCCAAGGCTACCTCATGAAGAATGAGACACAGGGAATTGGATTGATGATGGTGGGAGCTGGGCTTGCGGGAGGTGGCTTCCATTCTGGTTGGCAAGGTCCTTGGTCAGTCCAACAAGCACAGGGGATGTAGATGCAGTGAGCAGTAAATAAACTCTATCTGCTTGAGATTTGCCTTGAATCTGCCCTCTTGCCTTGGGATTTTCAGAGTATAGATTCTCTTCCTTCCTTCCTTCCTTCCTTCCTTCCTTCCTTCCTTCCTTCCTTCCTTCCTTCCTCTCTCTCCTCTCTCTCTCTCTCTCTCTCTCTCTCTCTCTCTCTCTCTCTCTCTCTCTTTTTCTGTCTCTCTCTGTGTCTCTATCTCTCTCTGTCTCTGTCTCTCTCTGTCTCTGTCTCTCTCTAATAAGTAAACGAAAGTAGCAGTTTTATCAGTATTTCTTATCGACTGCCCTCTAGCAGTGGGCTTCTGCTTTAAGAGCTGAACTTCCCAATTTCAAGTTCTTTCTCCTTCTCAAACTAGAAGTTCCGGATTGCTCGGTTCTGTTCTTATCTCTGCCATCTGTTTACTAAAAATCTTTGTGTTCCTGGTCTTTTTTTTTTTCACCTCTTCTTCTCTTTTCCACTCTGTGACCTTCTGATACTGACTGTGGAGCAAGCAGTACGTCTCTATGGAAAATGAGAGTCTTGGCTGCACTTATTTGTAGCTGTGTCCTTGGTAAGAGTTTAGACTGACGATCACTGGACGCCCCCTTCATGTCAACAATGGGTTTGCTTCACCCTCACTGAAGACTGTATCTGCCAGTCTGGACCTGGTATTACTAGAAGTCTGTGAAAACGTGTGCTTTCCAAAAGCTTTCTTCAGGCTTAAGATGGACGCACTTATGCGGGGAGCAGAACAAGAGTCAACCACACCAGTTTTCACATCACACAGTCGGCAGTGTGGGCACTGTCCACAGGGTGACTGCTGCTGTCTTTGGGAAAAATCCCTCAGCAACAAAGACATGCTACTCATTGGAGGGCTCAACTTGCGTTTTTCTGCTATATGTGAATTAGTGTGTGTGCGATATGTATAGGGATCAGAGCAAAGCAAAAACCAACGTGGTGTGTATAAGTGTGGGCTGGATGGAGGGAAGACTTTTTTCTTTGACTTGGTGTTTATCACAGAGGTGTGAAGCAATTTACCGCTACCTGAAGTGTATGGTCTCAAAAGCTGGGAGGAGATGGGGGTTATGTTATAGCATTGAGTGCATTTTCTTCATGCTTTACAGCCTATCAGAGAACCTCAAGCTCTAGTTCTTGCCCCTTCTTTCTTCTGTGCCTTAGGTTTCTCCCAGGCTCTTCTTTATCTGTCTGTCTTTTTTGCCTTTCTCTGTCTCTCTTCTTAGTCCCAGCTCTTTCTTCTTAAGTTCTCACACTGTGGTGAGACAAGGTAACAAACCAGGAAAGGGAAGAAAAAAAGGGAAAATAGGTACAAAAAAAAAAAAAAAAAAAAAAAAGAGCCAGCTTCACTTTCTTTGGGCTTCCAAAAAGACTTCTGCTGATTCAAAGCCTCATGAGGTGAGAGAAGGGAGGGAAGCTCTGGGTCAACACAGAGGGAAAAGATGCTTGGGGAGGAAAGCAGGTGGTGCAGTAGCGACAAGGAAAACCCCAGAGAGGCTACTGTACACCTGTGACTTCGGGTTTTTCTTTGAAAGCAGGGGATTTCAGCTGGTAGACCCTGTAGTAGAGGCAAACTGCTTCCTTTGACTCAGGCTTCTGCGGTTTCAAGGCTGGACGAATCTTGCCTGGTAAGCCTCATGCTGGACCACCTTGGCTCTGTGGGCTGTCCCACTGTCTTAAAGAAAGGGTAGCAGTAAGCTTTAAGGCTCTGTCCCATTATGCCAAAGCTTTTGTTTGTTTGGTTGGTTTGTGTTGTGTTGTTTTATATCAGATGTGACCACTTCTCTTGGTGGTCACACCAATCAATACTTTATGCTTAACAATTTAGATCAAGTATGCCCTCTATCCCTGGGCCTCACCCTGTGAGAGGCAAGCTTACAGTATTTAGAATATCAGCCCAAATATCATTGTTTCACTAAATAAACAGGGAAAAGAAGACGAGGGTATTCTCAAAGCTGGTAAGAGCTGGGCCTTAGCCTGGAACTTGGCAAGAAAGTTTGTCTTTACTCCTATGTATGCCCCTTGTCCCATTTGTGATGTTCCAGCCAGAGAAACTGAGGCACAGAGATAGACCTGGCTTGGGGTGTAGACTGCTGCAGAGATGCGACATTAGGCTAGCTCTTGTCCTGCTCAGGCTCCATCTAGGCCAAGCACTGTGGCTGTTTCCATTGAACTCTGCAGGCAATTTTTGTCTGAATAAGTCCATGTTGTGTACTATATTCATTTTGTGTGTGTGTGTGTGATGTGTGAGTGCATGTGTTTG